TTTGGGGTTTTTTTGTGCGTGTGTTCCACAGAGTCAGATACAAGGTTAAATAAATTGTAAACCTCTCCCAGAGCCGAGCTGGCGTCATTCGTGGCCGGGCAGGAAGCGCCGTCAGCACCTCTGTAACGGAGGTTCGGGGAGAGCGGATTAGCACGAGGCCCCAGGGTGCAGTTTCTGGGGGCAGCAGCTCCGGCTGAGGGGAAGCAGAACAGAGCTGCCACTTAGAAAGTAAGAAAGTTTATTTAAAAACAAATCAAAAGCTCGATTCATAATTTAGTAGCATAAGTTATTAATCCAACTGACAGCAAACTGGGCTGACTGCGTCAGCAGTGCCTAACGAAGCCGGTACAGCTGCCAGTAATAAATAGGACCAGTATTTGACAGCTGAGCAGAGCCTTCTCCTGGGCAGCCTTTGGCAATGTGATTTCGGAAGCGGCTGCCTCAGGCCACGGGGAAGCAAAACCAGGCACCAGCCGTATCTAACGGCAGCGGGGGTGCTGCGTGCAGCCAGGCGAGGCTGGAGCACAGCCATGGGCAGGAGCACGTGGGACATGAGGCTTGGTCCCCAAAACCATACTGGGGGGGCTGGGGAGAAGGTGTGGGGGGCAGCCGTCAGGTCTTTTGCCCAGGGAGCTGGGCTGAGGGGACATGAGCCTTAGGCTGTGACTGGTCCCTGTGGGAGTGGAAGACGTGGCACCCTGGCCTGGGGGTTCCTGGGGCCATGAGGTTGGGGCTGAGCAGCCCTCTCTGTCCCCAGGGCAGGGGACAGTGGGTGCCCCATCCTTCCCCCATCCTCTGAGACTGGGACCCCCTCTGCTCCCTGAGCTGGGCGGGCTGGGGGCCGGGCACAGCAGGGAGCAGGCAGTTTCCTCTGCAGTTTGGGCTCAATCACACGTTTGAGCGCTGGATGCGGCCACCTCCCAGGGCACAGGGAGAGCCCAGGAGCAGCAGCTCCCACAGTGGCCACAGGACCCAGCCAAGCACCTTCTCCCTGCTGGGGCTGGCACCTCTACATGCCATGAGGGGATTTTGTGCCCCAGGTGCCAAAGCCAGGCCCTGGCTCTGTTCTTCCTTGTGTTTCTGCTCTGTGAGATGCAAAGGACCGGGGGAGGATGAGGATGGGGATGAGGAAGGGAGAGGCTGGGGATGCTCCTGCCTTCCTGCCCCATGCAAGAAGCAGGAGGGGGAGCTGGAACTGCACCCAGGATGACCACAGCCTCGCTGGGAGGCAGGGGGGGCTGGCCCCGAGCCACCCCTGGCAGCCAGGTAAGCCCTCAGGCCACAGCTCAGTTCTTGCTGAAGCCGGTGGGATTCTGCAGCTGCCACCGCCACAGGTCCTCACCTGCAGGAGGGAGAAAGCAGCAGTGAGGGGTGGGCCAGGAGAGGGGCAGCCTGCGACACACGGCGTGCTGGGGAGGGGGATGCTCTTACACATCTTGTCCAGGCCAAAGGCAGCTTTCCAGCCCAGCTCACGCTCGGCCAGCGCCGGGTTGGCGTAGCAGGAGGCCACGTCTCCCTCCCGCCGGCCTGTGATCTTGTACTTGATCTGCAGGGAAAGCAGCACTGTGGCGTCTGGGGGCTCCTGGCTCTCAGCTGATGGGACTCATCCAAGGCCCAGGAGCAGTGCCAGCGGCTGCCATGGACACAGGCACAAGGGCTGCCACAGCAGTGACAGCTTGGGGGGGGCAAGGCGGGGGGGGCTGTGGGAGCAGCTGGCTCTGTGCCTGTGGCTCTACAGGCTGCGGGTCAGACCTTACCTCCCTCCCCGAGGCTTTCTCCATGGCCCGGACCATCTGCAAGACGGAGTAGCCAGTGCCTGTGCCCAGATTGTAGATCTGGGAGGAGGATAAGGGACATGGGTCAGTTTCTTTCACAAGGGGAGAAGGGCCAAGCCCTCTTTAGCTCCCCTTGGGCTGAGAGCCCAGCCCTGGCCCAGTCCCGTAGCCCCAGCAGGGCTGACTGCACCCCAGACAACAGCCTTCCTGATACCTTGCAGCCGCAGTTCTCCTTGAGCTTCTTCAAAGCAGCGATATGGCCCTTGGCCAAATCCACGACGTGGATGTAATCCCTGACACCTGCAGGGACAAAGAGAGTGAGCACAAATCCTTCCTACCCAGGGTGCGGCTGTGCTAGGGAGCTGTGGTGGCTGCCCCGGGGGGACGGGGTATCTCTGCTCCACCCGTTCTGTAACACACCCGTTCCATCATCTGTCTTGTAGTCATTCCCGAACACGCTGAGGAATTCCCGGCGCCCCACTGCCACCTGCACAGAGGGACAAGCCCATGAGACCCCTGTCAGCCTGTGCCTCACACAGGCACTGCGAGCCCGGGGTTCTCAAATGCTGCAGCGGGTCAGTACCTGTGCCACGTAGGGCATGAGGTTGTTCGGGATCCCCTGAGGATCTTCTCCAATCATGCCCGACACATGGGCACCGATGGGATTGAAGTAGCGCAGGAGAACAGCGTTCCAGTCCTGGGGAGACACACAGATGTGGCTGCATGGGGAGGGTGTAGTGCCATGCGGTGCTGCCCGGACACCCCAGCACGCTCCAGTGGCAAAAGACCTCAGTTCCCAGCTCTGCGCACCTTGGGGTAGCTCCTCACCTTCTCTGCTTTGCAGAGATCGCGAATCATCTCCTCGATGAAGTACTTGGATTTGCCATAGGGGTTGGTGCAGCCTCCGACCGGGTGATTCTCATCCAGGGGGAGGTACTTGGGGTCTCCATAAACGGTGGCAGAGCTGCTGAACACAATGTTCCTCACGCCGTGGGCTTTCATGGTCTGGGGAGCAGGGACCAGCCACCACTAAGCCAGCGAGCTCCATGCCCTCCACAGGGAGCAGCTCCCACCATGCAGGCACTGTTACACCCCTGGGACAGGGCCTGGGCATGGGGACCACTGCAGGGACCAGGCTGCTGGCCAGCACGGCCACCTCAGAGCAGATCGCACCCAGCACCAGTCACCCAGCACCCGTGCAGCCCCGAGCACCACATGTGGCCTGCTGGTTCTGCTCACCTCCAGCAGCCGGATGGTCCCGGTGAGGTTCACCCTGTAGTACTCCAGGGGCTTCTGCACAGACTCCCCCACTGCTTTCAGCCCCGCAAAGTGCATCACGGCTGAGAAATGGTGCTGCAGAGGGAGAAAGAGCTTGGCACTAGTGCCACAGCAATAGGAGATAGAAGCTCCAGGCAGAAACCAGTCAGAAGTCTCCCCAGGAGTTTCACTCAGCCCGCCTGTGTGGGTGTCCATGCCCCACAGGAACATCTGCTGGTCAAAGCATTTCCTCAGCGCTGTCCTCCCCGCTCAGCCCCTGCCCAGTCCATATCTCCCTCCTGGCTCCCACCCCCAGCACAAACCAGTCTCACCCCTTAGAGGCCATGAGGCCACCTTGGGTCACTGCAGCTCTTGCTCTCACCTTACTGAAGAGCTCCTGCAGCGCTGCCTCATTGGTGATATCCAGCTCCTGGAAGAGGATGGGCTGGTGCACGATCTGCTCTACACGCCGGAGGCTCTCGGGGAGTGTGTCTGCCCCTGGCGAGATGGAAGAGAGTGAGGCACTGGGATAGCTGGAGGTCCCAGCACAGGCTGAGAGGGGCTTGCATGGGAAGGGATGAAGGCTCTCCGTACCTCGGATGGCATTATGAAAGTTGTCTATGACCACGGGGACGTAGCCAGCCTCCACCAGCTCCAGCACACAGTGACTGCCAATGTAGCCAGCTCCACCGGTCACCAGGATCTTCTCTGCCATGGTCCCCTGGGGAACAAAAGGCCCTTCAGTGGAGAGCGCTGTGTAATTGGGCTGAGGTGGGCACCACAGCCAGGGCCCCTGAGAGGGAAGGGGCAGGCAGGACTTGGACACTGTCACGTCAGCACTGCCTCTGGGCACTCCCTGCGCTTGGCCCGACCAGTGCCAGGACGACATCCAGAGAGGAACAGGCTGGGCAGGGTGTAGCACACCCTGCCGACGTGGTTCACACCTCCCGGACAGGGAGGGTATATCGGACACTTGTCACATACAGAGGAAAACCCCTTGTACTTCCTGTTAAATCCAGTCAAGATCCTGACGTCACCCATATCCTACAGCACAAATCCCTCAGGCTAATTTACCTCTAAGCGCAAGAGCAGGGAGTCAGGTAACAGTGTTAACCTGGGTGATCTCCTCAAGGGGCATCGGCTCTGCCCTCTTCCCCCCCATTCCCTGTTTTTTCTCTAGTTCTCTCTACAGCCATCCCTGCACTCCCTCCAGCCTCCCTTCCCAGGCCCAGTGCTGGCCCGGTTCTTCCCCTGCTTCATAGGAAGGTGGGCATTGGGTCACTACAGACTTCAGGGACATTTGCTGGCATACGCAAAGTGGAAACCTGGAAAATAACCTGCAAGAAAGCCCCTGTCCCTGGGAACCGAGCAGGGGCTCCTGCACAATGGGCAGGAGGGAGAAGCCACTTTATTACCGAGGCATGTGGAGGCAGCACAGGGAAAGTTTCCACCCTGGGTGGCTTTAGTCACCCTCAGAGCTGCGTTTCAGGCTGAAAACCAAGCTGACACCCCTAAACTGCCCTCCCCTGTGCCTGCTGCCGGCCCCAGGGCTCCTCCAGCAGCCAGGGAGGGCAGCTCCAGGGGAGGCCAGCGCCTGAGCCAGGCAGGAGAGGGCTGGAAACCCAAAATAACGCTGCATTTCTCCAGGCAGGTGCGCAGGCAGCGGGACAGGGCAGGGGCCTGTGGGACAGGGTGCGGACGTGGGACAGCCGCGGGACAGGGTCACCGGCGAGGCTGCAGGGCCGGGGTACCCGCGGGGCTGCGCTTGGGGGCGGGGGGGACCTGGGGAGCC